GGAGAAATTGAAGAGCTTATTGTTTGGTTTTATAAAGAAGTGTCATGTCAGATGCTAAAAAAATTCACATCAGAAATGTGATTTGATTGAGCAAAAGTTCTCAATAACAAATACTTTGTTACAATGAAATTGTTTTCAGTGTGTATTAGCAAAAGGAAAACAATCACACAAAAGCCTAAATACAAAATGCATGGAGAGCAGGTGGAGACTAGATTAAATGGACTAACTAAGCCAGACCAGAGAGATTGAGGAAGGATACAAGAGGAAATACCTAAATAGTGGTAAGAGCTTGACCTTACTATTATACTGTTTTGCTACAGTTCCATTTTTTTCAGATCACATTATACTGTCTCCAAGATCAAACTCAATTTTTGCAGGTGTCTGGCTTACATTTTTTTATGTAATTTCAAGTTTCTGCAGTACTAAAATCTAAACGTAGACTGGAGCCACATGCCTGCCAATACCTCCAATAGCAACATCACATTTCCAGTGCTCTTCCTATTTTGTCATCAATTCCATGTAGCAACCAGCCATTCCAAGCTGCTATTTTCAATAACTGAACATTCACAGAAAAACTAACTTTAAAAGAATTTACATACTTTTCTGAGGACAACATCCACATATGCAGAGCACAACAAGAAAACGTCCCCATTAAAACAGTATAATCATTCTCTTCTTCTCACTTGAAGTAAAGTGATGGAGGAACTACACCACAGGAGAAAGCTGAATTTTTATTTTCAAGCTATCAACAATGTTCACTCTAAAAGCAAAGATAATACTGCAGGTAAATAAATGCCTGTCACAGTACTTGGCCACTATGTCATTCACAAATTTTCTCAAGTAATTATTCCACAGAAATTAAAGGAAACATGCATTCAAAACCAAAGACATGAAAGGAAAAGACATGAAACAGTCAAGTTGCTAAATCTCGAAACAACTCAGAAAAAATTATATTCTTTTCTAAGTTTGACAGGTATTTTACCAGCAGTCATTTCACCTACTATATAACTCTCCAGAATTTTGCCTAATTTCATCCAGCAGTGGAGTGTGCTTTACATCAGGAATCTTGGAAAAAAAAGGAAAAAATAAAAATAGAATACAGTAAGAGAGAACCACTGCACAAAAAAAACTGGAGATTTGAGAAAAATTACTAAATCAGATGCAAATTATTCACACAAGTAAGGATATGCACAATCAGGCCCATACTAATTGAGCACAATAAACATATCGTCACTCATTAAATATCTATCTGCCTGAACTTATCTTTGCTCTCTCTTCAGTTCTTATGAGTTATTCAGTCATTTCCCATCACACAGGAAAGGAAATATTGCACTGTGAAGACAGAGCTATAATTAGAGATTCCTGTATTTCATTTCCCATCTATGACTGAATGAGAATGGATGGGAAAAATATGAACAGTGATAATAATAGTATGTTGAAACATTCAGTAAGAAATATACTGGGCATTGAATAACATCTTAATTCTTCCTTAGCACATAACGCTGTGTTTACTGCAAGGTCAGTTAAGTTACTATAAGAGATTTTTAATGAAAACAATTATAAATTTAAAATAACTGTGTTTAAAGCATTTAACAGTCACAAAGGTCAAGTGATTACAGCAGTTACAAGACCCATGGGACATGTTCACACCAAAACAAAAGTGAATAAATTACATCAGCCAGTGTATGTAATCACTAAGTGACCACAGAGGTTATTCAATGTATGAGCCCAGAAGACTTTCATGCAAAACCAATAATTAAAATTTATCAGCCAAAGAAAAAAAAAAAAAAAAGGCTTAAGAATTACTAAAAGTTCCAGGAAGGGTCGAGAGCTTGGAAGAGCAGGAAAAAGGGTATGGAAATCTTGTTCAATTATTTGGCTGCAGAAATGAGGAAGAAGGATACTGTTAATGAAATTAATGGCCAAAATGCTGAAGATGTTGCCCAAGTGAGATAACAGAAGAGTTGCAAAGGGATGCAAACCCACAAAATAAAACACTGAAGAGATTACAGAAGTGCTTTCAGTCCTGTAAAACTCTGGTGTATGTAACAGTGAAGTACAAGTGAGGCAGAGGTTCAGGATAATCATCTTTTAATTTTTCCCTTGGCTTTACTGCCAAGAAAATTATGGATAGTTATTGTGGTTTAGTTATCCCATTAGATAATCCTGGTGGAAATGAGGCCCTGTTGTTTTACCACAGAGTAGGTAAAATATGCTGTAGAATGAAGCCTAGCTGTGATTTCACTTCTCTCCCTCAAGGTATAAATAATACAAATGCGTTGTCTTCATTACTGCCTTACAACATGACTGTCAGTGGAGAAAACCATGCACATTAAAGACCTGAAAATTCCTTTCTATAAGGTAAATGTTGTGTTTGATGTTTTCCATGCTTTGGAATAAGCTCCTTACCAACTATGATGAAAAAAGATAACTCTCACTATATGGCAGAACAAAAAGGAAACCTGCTTCTTCCTGCCAACCACTGGTATGTATTTTCAAGCTGTTATATGTCATCACCTCAGAACCTTAAAGGTACTAATATTCACAATATACATAATAGTTAAATGTAATTACTCCTATTTTTCAGATGGAATCCTGAAAATAAGTGGCAAAAGGGCATGCTTGACCTCACAGTGTTTTGATTCCACAGGAGGAGAGGACAGCACTGGAGCAAGTATTCACCAACATGACAAGCTTCCAGAGGGGAATCCATTTGCTGCCTCACTTTACACCACAAACCTCACATCTGGTATTGACACATGTATGACAATGAGAGCGGACTCTGTGCCAAAAAAATGCACAGAAACAAACCAATCCAAAACCCCCAAAACCAATAAAAAAAAAACCCTCCAAAACATTTCATCTGTACTGAAAACACGAAAGCCTGAGGCCAAAGCCAGTAGGTCCTCACACAATCAAAGCTTCCAGTTTCAATGACACTGACTGCCAAAGAATGCAAAACCTGCTTTCTCAGATAAATACCACACTGACTTCTACAAGAACTGCATATATGCTAAGAAAGCACCATGGTAAATTACTGAAGCTGGACAAAACCTATTAATCTATTCAAAGGGTTGAATTCTTCTGTTGCAAATGTTAAACCAAGGATCTATGTGATAAAACACATCATGAAACATCTTTTAAATACAAGGCATGCCAAGTGGCTGCCAATATTTTAAGATTATCTATGAAGGGGTGAAAAAAAAAATAGTAATTTACTTTTTCTGGATTTCAGCATTACTGAGGTAAGAACTTCCAAATGCCAAGCACTGGGCATGGGCTCTGGCTGTATCAAAACCATACTTGTGAAATGACTCACAGAATCATAGAATAGAGGGTTGGAAGGGACCTTAAGGATCATCTGGTCCAACCTTTCTTGACAAAAGCATGGTCTAGTCCAAGGAGGAACTCTGGTGACAAGACACTGCTCTTAGTAGTGAATTCAGGGCAGACTTGGGAGGTCTGTACTCTCCACAAAGCAAATCCTTTTCTGGAGCTGCCTGGCATCTCTAACAACTGAACCCTGTTGAACAGCAGTGCTGCCCAGCCTCTCAGAAGCTTGGTGAAGCTGTGCAGCTTCCCATCCACTGTCATACCCTTGCTTGCTCCTCCTCCTTCACAACGCTAACCTCTACAGGTTATCACAAAGCATATTCCAAAGTTGAGGAAGATGATTCCTACTGTGTCTTTTCCTCAACCCATGTATCCACCTACTTCTCCCATCACTTCTTATTTTCCGGTCCTGCAATTACACTCTTAGGAACAAAGTAGTTTTGAGCTCATACAATGTAGTGCCACTTTCTAGAAATAAGGCTGATAAAATTAAATTACAGTAACATGGCAGTATCTGGAAGATCAAATCCCACATGCACAGAAAAAAAAAAAAAAAAAAGTAAAAATGTTATTTAAAATTGGGCTGTGGAAATCAGGAGGTCAGAAGGAAAATAAAAAGAACAATACAGAGAAAACTTAAAGGAGGGTGGAAAAGACAGAGAATGTGGAAGCTCTTCTATTTAAAAATTCCCTTTGTAAATTCAAATGCTCTTTACTTCTCTCGAAGGGTCACCCAAGGAACTCCAAATGAATAAAATGGTGCTATTAAAAGGCACGTAGAGATGTGGCCATCATACAGCAGGCAAGAGAGAGTGCAGTGATAGGGTAAATTGTGATGTCCAAGCTATGCTTTTAAAGGTTTTTACATAATACTGTAAATTCAATCTAACATTTCTTGAAAATCAGCTGCTCAAGTCACCTTCGCCTCTGACTGCTTTTAATGCAAGTGGTGACATGGTAGCACACAGCCAGCCTACAAGTGGCATTTACAGCAGAAACATTCCGCACTAGTTCCCATCCTTCATTTTGGTCTTCAGCGGTTGAAATAATTACCCTCATCTGTAGCAATACACTACCAAGGCAATGCTATCAACTACAGCAGAGTATGAAAGGCATTCTACCAAAGAGACATTTGGTGTCTGCATTCACATGTTAAATGCCAGGACTCCAACTCAAAGGGGCAATCGTTTGAATACCATGCCCCAAAAATCTCCCTCTTCCAATTGGTATTATTGATTTGGTCACTCTATATCATGGGAAGAAGGACTTTCAGCATTTCCAAAGATGCTGTTAACTTTCAGCACTGCTTTTAACAATGGCAAACCCAAAATACAGCCAGCAAGAGTTCTGGCTGTGGAAATAAAACCCCACAGGGTCAACTAAGCTGTGTGCGTTCCTATGAGGTGCCACCAACCCCTCAGCACACACAGCCCTTGCTGTGGAATGACAGAATCTTTTCCCCCAAAATAATGCAGAATTACAGCAAAATCTCTAAATTTGTCTTAATTAACAGAATCAGATTGAGCCTGGAAACAGTACATCACATGAGGACAAGTGAAGCAAGGGTAGGGGGGGATTTTCAAGTGCTCTAATTCAATTAGGAGGCAGTGACTGACACTTGGACAGGAGAGGTTAATTGGGGTCACCAAAACGCAGTAATTCCTTACCTAACCAGTCATTAAACTTCTTAACCTCTGAGGGCAGTCCCAGTTCGGTGAAATCGCCCGTGTGGAGAAGGATGTCCCCATAAGGCATCTGGATGCCATCTGTTCTGGAGTGTGTGTCTGAGACGCAGACAAATCGCGTGTGGCCCGCTGGTTTTGGCGTGTCATACGGGATAGGGTCGACCCTGAAGCAGACACATAAAGATCTCATCATAGTTACAAGGTTAAAACCCTCACATCTATTATTTCAGATATCAGCATGGATCTCTCTCAACATAAGCGTGCACGCACACACATACACATCCATTTAAACACACCAGGCCCAAAGAAATGACTCTGTAATGCAACACTGTCAAAAATCCAGAAGGCTCCCCAGTGCTTCTTAAATACCTACCAAGTAAGGAAGATCAGAAGATGCACAGGATGCAACCAGTTTCTGATACTAACGTTTAAAAATTTAAACATTGGAAAAGTAGATTTGATAGACTTTGAATTCAGATTTACTTTTTTTTCTATTACCTGCCTTACTCATGAACAGGTGCATGGGCCATTAAAGAACAAGTCTCACAGGTGAGTTAGCAACAGGCTCTCACTTAAACTGAGCAGATTAGCATCTGATTTTGTTCAAGGACATAGGCACTCCTAGAGATTCCATCTGGAATATTTGTTTATACACAATCAGGAGTGCTTTGATGAAGCCTGGAAATCCCAGAATTGAGTCTATTGACAACTTATCCTCGTACAAAAAATTGAGCTCATCTTTGCAAAATCTATAAAGTCAGGAGCTGTTGTGGCAGACCATTCAGAAACCACAGATAAAACTTTTTTTTTTTTAAGACAGTGATGTTAAAATTTAGTTCAATTGGTTATCTGCACGATACATTTGTTAATTTGATTAAATTTAATAAACACAAAACAAAGCAAGTCAGAACCAAACTTCTATGCTGGCTTGATATCAAGTTTTGTGTTTATTAAATTTAAGCAGAACAGACAAAAGTAACAGAAAACAGAAATGCTTGATGCATACTTACTGGCTAGAAATTCTAATTTATAACTGAGTAACTTCAAATACAAAAGGAAACCCATTGCCTACTTTGGAAAAGCAATTTTTTTTGCAGAGTTACCATAATTTGATTTGCTCAACTTTACTCAACTTTTGAATAGCACAGCATCTGGATTAACATCATAGAAAACCCCATCCCAACTACACAAAACTTCAACCCATTCTGATGATGTGCCACTTTGATCATGGTTAGAAGCTTAGCTCCAGCTAGAAATTTTGAGGTATGTATGTCAGAATAATAGTCCACTTACATCTCAAATCATCAGAGCAGTGAAACCAAGCTCTATATATTTTAAAGCACCCAAAATAATCCTGTTCTAAGACTTAGTGGGACAAAATGGCACAGCTGACATTCAAAAATCAATGTCTAAAAGTAAAAAGAAAATTAAACAGATTTTATTGGGTTTGCTCTCCACACTGAATGCAAAACAACTAGTACATATAATTGTGAATCTGTTTTTCTTAAATCCCCATAGTTATAATGAGATGTATGATCAGTAATAGAAAATAAAACACAAATCATAAGAAAATACTGACTTTTGAAGTATTCCTTCATTTATTGAGCTGTATTTACTCTTTTTAGTAAAGTAAAATCAGTACTTTGTATTTACAATGCACTGAAATGTGTGAAAACTTCCACCAGTATCTTTGAAGTCAGCTCCCTACACAGGTGAGAAAGACCAAAAGCATCTTCACCCAGGGAGCAATTTAGCTCCCTACACTGAGTTTGTAGTGGTTCAAGAAATCAGACTCCATATGGATATGTCCTGGTCTCCAATGAAAAATCACCCATGTGAACATACTTACTAGCAAGATTTTACTCAGTCTTTTAGATTTGATAGAATGTTTACTAATAGCTAAAATTGGGAGGTAGAGATATTGTTTGATAGACTGCATTTCCTACACAGCAGAATTATTTATAATTAAATTGTGTTTACCATAAATTTACCACATTTGGTTGCCACTGTTCACTGAATAATGTGCAAAATTCAGGCTCTACAAGATGATATTTAATTTGGTCTTTACTTTTAACAACAAATTTCACTGCAGGATGGACTGGACAGGAAGGGGCAGTTTGATAGACAGCATTTTGTTTTGGTGCTGCATCTCCCATGCTACCCAAAGCACCAGGTACAACTGGTTACCACTACAGAAACCCATTCAAAAAAATCTTGAACTCTGACAACATATTCCTTCTTCTCTGCTAGGGTCAGAAATTAGTAAGGTTATTATTACAGAGGAAAATTAATTCACCCATTGAGGTGACACTGGCAAGCTGGGCAGAACCGTAACTACAGGCCGCAGTGCTTTTGTATCCACTATCTTCCTCCCAATCACTGAAGGTAAGCTGAGGCTTTTTTAATAATGTCACATGGTAAACACGGAGGTCTCTGAATCAACATGCCCACACTTCCAAGTATGTTTCCTCCAGACAGCACAAAAAACGAACACTAACTTTCCTCAGTACCACACACCTCATTCAGATCGTCTCTGCTCATGCTCTGAGCAGCACTGCCTGCCTCTGGGCAGTCCAACTTAGTTCATACAAAGCAGCTATGATTTTGCTATTCTCTGCAGTTTGTTTCCAAACAAAACCGGCTTTGCTTTAGGCAATCCCTATTAGAATATGACACCAAAATCTGGTTTAGGATTCTTCTATTCATGGCTTACTTACAGAAAATTCTATAAATTAAATTCATTAAGTTCCTGACCTTTCTTTCTCCTCTATAAAAACACTATGATGTTGCCAAGTAACCTTTTTTTCTACATCTTAGCTTAATTTCTTCTCTTATTCACTATTGCCTGCCTAGTAAGTATTCGAAAGTGAGATACTGAAGGTTATTGTGTTCAGCCTATCAACTTATCTTACTTAAATAGTCCTTCAATAGAAACTTAATAAAAGTGGTGTTATTGCCAGTCTTAAAGGCTCAAGTTTTCTTTTCATCCACAGCTACAGCATGGCACAACATCATGCAAGATTTTTCTTTTTCTCTGCATCATGAGAAGATTGGCCTCTGGACCTAAGAGATCAGTGATCACAGTGCACAAGTCACTACCCTGTCACACTGCTCACAAGCAGGCTTCCACCTGGGCTGAGAACATCCTCCCTTCTGATGGTCTGCTCACCTCATGACCCAACATCTGGAGACTACAGACTGTCATTTCTAAAAGATCTGCATCAGTTATGCATCTGACCCTTGCTGCAATTCAACAGGAGATAAAATAATTATTTCAGCCCTGCCTATCACCAGGTCTCTGAGAATCACAGCACATACTTAAGAAACTACCATTTGCTTCAAACACCATGCATCCAGCTAACTTTGACACTACCCACTATCCCCCATACTTTATTTTTCTAGCATTCTTGAGCTGGTAGAAAAACTTTACAGATTATTTGATCACTGAATTTGGAAAAGCATGCTCATGGAAAGAGGCAGTAAATGTTACTCCAGAATAATTTAAATGTTCATCCATTAGGATTAATATGGCAATCAGGAAAGAGGCAGGCAATGTTATTCCAGAATAATCTAAATGTTCATCCACTAGGATTAATACAGCAACCAGGAAATGGAAAACAACCTAACAAAATAGTAAGGTATCAAAAGGAATTTGGGTGGGGATTTTTTGCCTTCAGTTAGTAAATGATCTTGGGAATCTAACTTCCTTCACAGACAGCTGTTAATAGGGACGTACCTACCCTAAGATCTTTTGCACCTTAGAAAATCAGGCACTTAAGTGTTTTTTCAAAAGTTTATGTAAGACCCAGAATGTAATCCTGTAAGGCAGTTGAGCAATGACTGCTTGCTAAGATCATGACAGTAATGTAAGATCTGTCACATTTAATGCACTTATGACAAGGTTTTAGAAATCAGAAGGGACATTATAATCTTCATGCTCTTCTATAAGGACTTTGTTTATTGGTAATTTGTTTATTGGTAATTACTTTGGCTTTACCAAACTGTCCTTACCACCAGTTGTTCTCATGTAGAGTAAGAGTTCCTAGGTACACACCTCAGACTGAGAGATCCTCACACATTGCTGCAGCTGAATCAAACACCACCACAAACCAGGCTGCAACGTGGTGTGCTCAGCTCTCAGTGAACAGTGTCTTCCTGCAAAGCCACAATCACCACAGCATTTCCAAGGCACTGGGCCGTGTTGGTAAGCAAGCTGAGCACTGGTCCTTGTCCTGCCAAGCATGCCCATGGTGGTTCACATGTGGTGCTGGCTGAGCTGCTGGCACACCCATCCTGCTCCTGGGGGCTGCATAGACTTGGGAGCTGTACACTGTCCTCATCCATCAGACAGCAGATTTTGTCATAGTGTTACAACTTAAAAGAAGAGATTAAGTAAATACACAACAATAAAGTTGTCAAGGGGATTTTGACAACGAGGTATGAGGGCTGAATTCAGCAGCTCACAGAGGAAAACACTGGGCCCTTCACATGCAGAGGACTTGATTTAGGATGTCACACCATGGAACAGACATGTTGGCTGCATATTTCAGCCCAAGCTTATGCTAGTTACTCATAATGACATCTTAAAAATCAGCAGCATTAAAAAGTATCTTAGAGACAGAATGAACAGTGCAGCCCTCCTGGAGATGGAGATGCAGGCAAAATTACACTGGGATCCCATTTTCAAAAATTTAGACACAAGCACCTCTTTTTTTTTTTTTTTTTCTGAAAGAAGTTTTGATTGCAAAGGATAATTCTGCATGGGTGAGTTCAAATACTGAAAACACAAGGCTGAGGTGGAGTTAGCTGGTGCCTAGGAAGGCCTGAGCTTAGAGAGCTGAATGCACAAGCCTTTTCACTTCCCTCCTCTCTTGGATTTTGAGATATGTAGGCCCCAAATCCCCTCTTACAGACCAATTCCCAAGAAATCAATTCATCCATGAAGACAGTCTAAAAATCTTAAACATTAAGCCAGGAAGAATCAAAGGATAATTCTGCATGGGTGAGTTCAAATACTGAAAACACAAGGCTGAGGTGGAGTTAGCTGGTGCCTAGGAAGGCCTGAGCTTAGAGAGCTGAATGCACAAGCCTTTTCACTTCCCTCCTCTCTTGGATTTTGAGATATGTAGGCCCCAAATCCCCTCTTACAGACCAATTCCCAAGA